GACAAAGCATCTTGGGAGAAGAGCCCCGCTATTGGCTCGCGTTCATATCCCCCTTCTAACGGTTTCGAGGGAAAAGTTTTGCCGTACACGCTCTTATCAAACATACTGTACTTAATCCTTTCTCCGTACGAGTCTTAATATTAGCGCCATGCCGTAAATTTTGTTTGATTGAGAAATATATGACATTATTACTGATAAATGTTATAAATGTCTTCAAAAACTCGTGAGTGAACATTTCGAATTACATAAAGGGTTGAAAAAATTATTTTTGAAAAGTAACTCGTTATTTTCATTACCTATTGAGAAAAGTAACTTGTTATTATTATCATTTTTTAAAAACCGTTATAATTTTATCATTAAGTTCTGAAGATTTTTTTTAGAATTCCTTTTTTTTATTTCATTCTACGTGTACAATGTCGCGACAAAAGTAACGAGTATATTCGTGACCATAATTCAAAAAGTGGGTTAATATTGTAAGGGAAGTAGTTAACATATTAGAAGGATATGAGAAATTATATTCATGTATTATCGCAGGAAAGGACGCGAGATCATTCGAAAGAAGCGGAGAGCTTTCGTGACCAATTGCACACATGTTCCTCCGAGTTCGTCGAAGAAGTGTTAAGCCCGCACTTTGGCGGTATAATCCAGCTGGTAAAGGAATCCGAGGTCCTGCTCGATAAGGGCCAGATCGATGACTTGAAACGTCAAGAGGGAAAGGCGCTGGCTCTCGTACAGTCCTTCACGAACAATTGGAAACGAGCGTTGGAAGAGATCAACCGGGAGGTTCTGCGCTCGTTTCCTAGTCTCGTCCTCGGCGGCATACTGGTGCAACGCGCGATGACGCAGTTGGTACAATACTATAATCGTCTCCATAAGATTTTGCCGCCGAATGCGCGTACACAACTCACGAATATCCATCATATCATGGTGGAGATTAAGAAGTATAAAACGAACTATTAGACGATTCCGTGAGCTTAGTTTCAGTTTTCATGGGGGCGATTTGAAAGTGATCTTTTCAATATATTGTATATATGGAACAAACCGTTGTAATAATTCTCTAAATAATTACTATTTATTATATAAAAGGATATCAGTTTTCCGTTTTATCGATAAGAGTGCCTAGAGATACTGTGCAATATTCGTGTAAATACAATAATAATCGTAAAAAATAGATTCTGTACATTTATTTATAAAATAATACAAACTACGAGCTAATACTAAGTATCTGTATGTGTGTATTACGTTACCACTCTATACAATAGCAATTAATTCTCCGTATTTCTTCTTTTGTGCACATGGCACGCGCACGAATCGTATATTATATATATGTATAATATATATATTACGCCTATCTCGTATAAATTAGTATGTATACACATGTGTACGTTGAAGGTGATGTCGTTATTCATTCTTTGTCTTAAACTTCCGACACACATCTATGGCATTAAACGTGTTAAATTCAAAAGATTACGAGAATCCAATCGCGACGTGCACACGGTGAGCACGTACGCGCGAGCACGCCAACTGTATACACGTTTGCTATTTGAATTGGATACGGTTGCCAATTGAATCGTCGTACATTTGGATCGCGCCCACGTAAGGATTTTATTACATACATACATCGAGTTTCTCGGCTGTTGGGAAAATTGTTGTACATAGTGCATTTTGACGAATGATACGTAGTGTCAATGGATCCAAAAGTTCTCGGCCTGACCTACTTTGCGCATGCGCAGAGAAATAAGAATCGTGGTTATGTGAAGCTTAACATTCGAGATACCAGCACCCTTAGTTGCATTCTTATACGCTCGTTCTTGCGTATCAAATAATGTGGTGTAACATAACTATGTCGAATTTTGGTCGAATTTTATCATGTGGTGATAAAGTTCTTGACAAAAGAAGATCGTACGCTGTTGGAAATTCATGAATGCTTTTGTAATATGTACGGCGATGTTTCTCCTTCGTATTCGATGGTGAAACAATGGATAAAATTTTTTAAACTTGAAAGAGAATGTTTTTGAATATTTTAAGGGCAAAGACAAAAAGTTTGACGACATAAATTTATTAATTTTACGTTATGAAAAATATAGTAAAATGGAGCTATATCCCATACCGCACAAAAGTTTGGAGAAGATTTCAGAAAGATTTCAGAAAGATCTCAGATCAATGTTTCTGAAACCTTTCTGAAAGCTTTTTCAAACTTCTGTGCTGTATGGGATTGAAAAGTAATACACGTCTTTTATTTATTTGACACTTCTTTCTTACTCAGACCGAGAACTTTTGGATCTCAGTACGTATCACCTACGTGGTCGCTGCGCTTCTATCGTCGATTTGCGTTCATCATGAGCCGCTGATTTACAGGACACCATCGATCGCATGCAACACTCCGTTTGTCGCCGGCACGTTATGTGTCAAGACGTGTGCCTCGTTCACTCTTACTCGTCCTGAAACGTGATAACGCGTGTTAAAGTAACCGAGTAATCGTCTATTGATACTTTGAGGACTGATGTCCGCAAGTGTTGGTCACACAGGGGCATTAATCTTTTAATGCCCGTTTTTACCAACTTTAATTAAGTTAATCGGCTGATTATTCCAACGGAATTGACCAATCGCATCTGTCAATTCTGAATAGAAATGCAATTGGTTAATTCCGTTAGAATAACTAGTCGGTTGAGTTAACCGACTGGTTGATGGAAATAGGCATAAGTCACGAATTTTTCTGGACAACCTTTTCTTTTATTCAATCGATATCTGGGGTTTTTTTAGGTCATTAATTACGAATTTGAAGTCAGTTTTTGAAAATTCAAGATGGCGGATCCAATATGGCAGACGACAATTTTTAAACTCCCTCGATTTCCGTGAAAATTATTCAAAGTTTTTGGTGTTGCTAATCACGAATTCGAAATAACTTTTTTGAAATTCAAGCTATTCGCAGACTCAACTCTACTCATTTACGGAAAGAAATATAACTTATCCCTATTGTTGGTATTTTAGCTTGCTATATTGAGTTCGCCATCTTGAGTTTTGAAATTTTTGAGGTTGAGTCATCTACAGCTCAAAAAGCAATTTTTTCCATAGGTTTATTTTGCAATAATTTTGGCAAATGAATTTAAAAGAAAATACCTTACATTAATTTGTTTATGAATAATTAAATTTGCAAAATTTAGTGTTCTATGCAGACGATTCTGTTAGAGAAAAATCTAAGCTTCACAATGAATTCGCATTTACCGCCTTGAAGTCTCTACAAATTAGTTTAAACTTAATTCGTAAAAACTGCTCTAAAAAAGGTGTATCATATATGATATACTATGACTTAAAGTGTTAATTTGTATGCGTGGTCGAAAATAAACGTTCCAACAACCGCACATCAAATAAGGATATCAAAATAGTTCAATAGTTATAAAAATATATATTAATTATGATTTACATAATTGATTGAAGAAACTGAAGTATACAAATTTATTAATTTAGCACACAAAAGTATGTAAAGTTTCTAAATTATTTCCAAATTGTTTTTAGATTATTTTAGAATTACTTTAACATTTTATACGTACAGTGTGAGTCACCTAATGACAAATTTTGAAATATCTCTATTGTTTCTTATATTAGAGGAAAATACATAAAGAATAAATTGTGTGGGGTTGGACAGATTTATTGACTATAGTATTTATCTCTTCCAATCACATAATTTATTCCTTACACATTTTTCTTCAAATGTATAAAAACCAGCAGATATTTTATAACCTGATGTTAAATGACTCATCCTGTATATATTTTTTAATTTTTTATTATTTTAAATTACTCCTAAATTAATAAAAAAAGAATTATTGCTGAAAAAATTACTATTTATTCGGATTTTATTATATTATTATCGGAGTTTCGAGATTGAGATAGAATATGAAAAATTATTTAAATTACTCACCGCTGTTTTTGTGGATATGAACCGGCGATTGTGGGCGGAGAGTGTCCTTTTGCATATAATACCTCATCCCCGCGGTATAAAGTGTGGTAGGTATCACATGCTTGGAGACTATCGTCTTTGCCGCTTCCGGGCCGTCCTCTTCAGTCCAAATTGGGCCGCCGTTCTTCGTGGATGCGTCGGTGAAAGCGGAATCAGTCGGCGCGAAGATGGTGAACGTCTTCGGTCCTGCAAAGGCAGTTTATGGTGGGACACCAAAGACGGAAGTAATCAGAGACGCTTCAGCATAATTAGCTAAATGCGTGTCAACAGTAATTAAACATGAAATAAATCTAGTTTTGGATATTACATCGATATAACCAGCCATCTTGAGGAGAAATTTAATTACTTGGAAATCCTTATTTTTTCTCTTAACTCTGCCAAAAATAAATCGAGCCGAGTCGTTGCTTTCTTTCCTTTTTATGTCATGCGACAACGCTTTCGTCGGTTTGAACTTTCGACTTGCCTGCAAGTGTGTCCTCCAAGCCCGACGCGTGGAGTATTTTGAGGAATGTGGTAAATCTCCTCTCGCGATCAGCCTGCAAGGTCTGCACCAAGTCTCCGACCGGAAGCGGGAACATGACTCGATCGACGGCGTGGGCGACGCCCTGAGAAATCTCAATGTCCCGTTTATTGGGCGCGACGCGTGCCCCGTTTATCGTTGTCACCTATTTGCAAACAATGCGCAAAAAATTGCCGGTGAAATTTACAATCGCGTGATCACAAGGTTGCAGGAACTAATCGCGACATTCCGGACCTCTTTACATGTATTACGTACAAATGGCTGCATTTTACGAGAAGTATGACAGCACGACGGAGGTCTCGCATTGAGCAATATCGAACGTATTCATCGAGTGAATGGAAGATTTCTAACGTATTCGCGAAGGTCAATAAACTGGATCATGCGCAAACACGAGCATGCTAGCGCGTTAAACGTCCGTAAAAATAACGTCGTGCTGACTCACGCGGGGAATTTGTGATTTATAGTCAGGCTTCTCAAACAAGAAGTCTGCCTCGATGTAGAGATAAGTAGAAATGACGTGGCAGTGATGCAAAATTGATGATTTAATTGAAGAGATTAAGTTTAATTACAAGGATATGGAGAAAGAGATAGGGAAGTGACGGTGAAACGAAAGATCCTGGAAAGACAAGAGTCACTATCATCGCGAAAATGAACGATTCTAAAATGCGAGAATACCTTTACGTCGTTCCATTCGTGATCTTGCATCGCGTACTCGTTCACTCGCAATTGCGTCCCGGCCAGGCTGACACCGGTCATTTCGTCTTGTAGAGAGTCGATCCTGAAGGCTCCTGGTATCACATGGTGAAGCAAGAGCTACAATAGGAGATTCTTATTAGCAAATGTGAATTATTTTATATATAATATTTTCAATATTTAAAATTTTTGATATTAATGTTCTCAATATTTAATATTAATATTCTAAATTTCTAAATTTTTAATATATATATATATATATATATATATATATATATATATATATATA